GGGGCCCGGCGGTGGGAGGCCACGGCGGGCCCGCGGGGGCTGCGCTCCAGCTCCTGGCCTGCACCGAACACGGGGGGCCCAGGTCGGCGTCCGGGCCAGGCCGATCCCCAAGACTTAACTCCCTAGTGCCTGCGGGAAGCGCTGGCTCGCAGCGCCCAAGTCTCTGCTGCGGCTCCTTCGAAGCGCAGCGCGGGAGGTGGCGAAGCCCCTGTGCCCAGCCGGGCGCCTCGCAGGCTCTTCTGCCTCCCCCCCAGCCCCAGCTCGCCAGACCCAGGGGACAGGCAGCCGCCACCCTCGCCGCGGGACTTCGCGCAGCCCCAGCGGAAGGAGCCGGTTTGGCAGAGGAGCCCGGAGCCTCCCCCACCCCCAGGAGCCCCGCGGAGGGCCCGGGCTCCTAGGACAGCTGCCCCTGCCCCACGCCGGGCCCGCGGGTCGGCCATCCCTGTGTGCCTGCGGGTGTCCGTGGGGTCACACCGGTGCCGGCCTCCACCCGCAGGCTCCACACTTCCCCCAGGGCCGGGGACTTGGCTCTGGGTCAAGCCCCACCTGTGGAGCAGGGCGTGGTCAGCGCCCAGCGGTCAGAGCCGGCGCACTTGGGAAGCCAGGAGCTCCCTGTGCAGGAGGCGGCCGGACGCAGGCAGCCCGGTTAGGGCTGCGGTCAGGGCACCGCAGCGGGCACCCTCCCAGCAACCACCCCTGTTCCCAAGCCTTGCACTGGGTGCTTGGATGGGGGTGCATCAGGGGGCCCCTTACCAGAGGGCCCCCATCCCTAGGGCCCCCCGCGTGGAGACAGTTCCAGCCTGCAAGGTGGGGGCTCCCCGGGGCGGGAAGGCGGCTTCCCGGGAAACCACAGCCCCCTTCCCTCTGGGCAGCCTGCTGGCCCTGCCCGGCCTCCTGGCTAGCTGGTGCGGCCCCTGCAGGCCCCCTCCCATGACCAGCTCGACCAGCGGTGCCCCAGGCCCAGAGGGACCCTGCCTGCGGCCGGCCTGCCTGCCCACCGTGGACCCCTGAGGGCCCACCCGACGCGCCAGCCAGCCAGGCGTCCCCCTCGCAGATCTGCACCGGCCCCAAACCAACCAGGAAGGAGCGAAGGGCCAGGGCGAGGCCGGGGGGCCCCCCCACCTGGCCCTCCCCGGCCTGGCCCAGACCAGCGGCCCCAGGGCCTCAGCCAGGGCCCGCACGCTGCGGGCTCCGTCTGCTGGGAGGCGCTGTGTGGGCCGCTCCGCTCCGGGGTCCCCGCCGGCCCTCGGGGCCCCTGACCGCGGTCCCTGCACGCCCAACGCGGAGATTCGGACCCGAGCTCGCCGTGGGGAGCTGCTGTGGGGGGGCTGCCTGGCCAGCAGGTGGGGCCGCAGCGGTACCCTCAAATGGGGGCACCCACCCCGTACTTCCCGCCTGGCCTGGGCCTCAAGCCCCAGAACCGCCCCGGGGGTGTGGGCAAGTGGCCCGCGGTGGCTCCGCGGGGCGCCTGACGGGAAAGGCCTGCGTCTGAGCCGTAGGCCGGCGACGGGTGCATCCAGCTCCCCTGGTGGGCGAGGCTGGGGCCTGGGGTCGGAGGGGCAGGGTGGGTGCGGGCCCGAGGGGGTTCGCAGGCGGTGCGGGGGTCCCGCCTCGGCACCCGGGCTCCAGAGCCCCCCTTCTGGGGTCATGCGCGGTCTGAGCCTCTTCCTGAGCAGGAAAGAGCCCCCTTGGGTGCACAGTGCGGAGACCTGGGTGGGTGCTGGGAGGGTGCTGGGAAGCCTGCAGCTGCTGGGGGCACAATAAGGGTGGGGGTCTGGGAGCCTCTGGCAGAGTCGGCGGGGACATGCCCAGGGGCCTGCTGCCGGCCTGGGGGGCGCATCGGGCACTGCGGCCCATGCTGGGGCCCTGGCGGGGCTGGCCCCCTCCGTCAGCGCATCGTGTGTGGTCGTGGGCAGCGGCACAGCCTGTGGGGACCCAGGACACAGGCTTCGGGGCACCCAGGCGAGAGCAGGCCCCGGGGACGTGGCCCCGGAGACGCCCCAGGGCCTCCTCATGGGCCCCACCATGGTGTTGGCCCGCACCCCCACCCACCCCCGCCCCAGGGCACCCCCAGGACACACCGGTGCCTGCATGGCCGCAGCGCAGAGGGGGCCGAGCCTGGCGTCCTGCCCGGAGCACCGGCCACACCCCACCCCCATGGGGAGACAGCTGACCCCGGCTGGAGGGGCAGGGAGGGCTGGCAGGGCTGCAGCCTGCCTGCCCAGACTGGCAGGGCTGGGGCCACCCCGCACCCCCGGGTCTCTAGGCCACAACGGGACCCTGCCCCTGAACCCGCCCGCGGCCGCTGGCTCTCCGCAGACTGGGCCGGAGCTGGCTGCAAGGGTGGACATGGCACTGTCCCCCAGTTACGGGCAGGGGTCCCTCTGGGACCTGTGTTGCTGCCCTCCAAAGCGGGTCTCTGCGCCGGGGCAACCTCGGGTGTGGGGTAAAGAGCGAGGGGTTGGGCACTTGTTTGTAGACCCCGCCAGAGCGCCGGGGGCCTGCACACATGTCCTCAGGGGGCCGGGGCCGCTGGGGGCAGCCGGCGGGGGTCCACTGTCGGGGCTCTCTGAGGGCCTGGGTGGGGAGGGAGGCCCTGCCGCGGTGGGCTGTCTGGGGCGGGACACTGGTCTCCCAGGGTGGAGGGCCAGGCCGGAAGCACCCCTGGGCAGGCTCAGGTCAGTGCCTGGGGGGCAGACTGCTGGGGTGGAGGCTGGGCAGTGGCCGTGGTCCAGCCGGCCGGGCTGGAGACTAAGTCGGGGAGCATCAGGAAGAGGCAGGAGAGGGTCTCCACTCAGAGGGCTGCCAGCACGGGCCTCCCCAGGCGCCCCCAGTCCCCAGCCCCCCGCCCCAGGCTGATGGCAGCTGGCTGGGGGGGCCGTCCTTGCACATCAGCTTCGCCATCTGCCAAAGCCGGGCAAGCACACAGGAACGCAGAAGGAGTCGCGCGGGGAAAGTGCTGGGGGTGAAGACGGGCCTGCTGGCGGGGGCTCCTGCTATTAGGAGGCCGTGCCAGCCCCCCGCCCCCGCCGAGCGGGGCGCCTCCGGGCCCTGCGGCCTCCTGCTG